CTGATGACTTTAAAAAAAAACCGATTATTGTTTTTCATTATTTTTAGATGAATGAATAAATGATGAATGAACAGAAAAATCGGTTTTTAAAAAAAACAACTTTATTCTCTAGGCAGGTTAAGAATTATTGGTTCTTTCCCATCAGAAAAAGCATTTGAAATGATTGTAAAAAAACTTAAAGATTTCAATTTGAATCTTGATCAATATATTCTTGGATTATTGAATGATGGCGCTATGAATAGCACAGAATTATTGAGTGATGGTCCCACTTTGATAAAGAAATTAGTAAAACTTTTGAATATTGTTTATCAATTTTGTCACTCAAATGATGATTATTTTGCTGTTGGTTATGGTTAGTCTTATTAGTTACAAATATTTCTTATAACAAATCTTTTGGGTTTTACCCTGGCCAACCTAGTTGATGGAATTAAAAATATATTTTAATCAAATACAAATACAATTATTTAAGAAATTTACTAATTAAATAAAAAAACAAATATGCCAATTTAGCCTATTACTACCAAATACGAATACAAATATGTATTTAAATCCAACCCCACATATGGGTTTACTAAATTTACTAATGACCCAATCAAGGTTAAACAATTTTTTTGTTTTGAAAACACAACTAAACTGATTTTCTGTAAATTATCAACCTAATACCATTTGGAGATTCCGGAGAAAACCAAAAAACCGTACTGTAAAATATGTTAAATGTGTTATGGTAACCTTTTTTTTTTTTTTGGATATATTTTTATTTTGGAATTTTCAATTTGTAATAAATATTGAATTCACAACATCTTGTTAAAAAATAAGAGACTAGGAACAAAAGATGTTGACATATATTTTGATAAAAATGTTGTGAAATAAAAGGGTCATTCCATGCCAAGTGGTGCAAAGGTCCCTCATGGACCATCTCAGATTTTATTGAAATTTTTTGATTTTGAACATGTATATTTTTTTTTTTATGTTGATTTTAGGTGCCCCAAAAAGTCCTTACAGTCTTATCACAGAACACCGCGGAAGAGCATTTAATAGGAATATCACGCCTCCTTCCCAACCGATGTCGCAAAACTTGCCCAGAGGCGGGGTTTGAACCACGGATCTTACGTTTCTGAGGCAAGTGTGCTACCACTGCATGTTTTAAAAATTTTAGATCAATATCTAATATAATTCTTGAGAAAACGCTATTTAAGTAGTGGGCTATTTTGCATGAAATCTCACTCTACAAGTAAAAAAGTTGTTTCCATCGTTTTTAACAACCAATAACTTTTGAAGTTAGTTTTATACTTCTGTTATTATAAAATAGCAAGTGTGCTGTGGATACTTTGAGGGAAAATTTAAGTTCTGGCATCTTAACTTTTTCCATAATGGCGGGCTAAAGTTGATATTTTTGTTTTAAGAACAAAATTGTTTGTGAATTTAAAGACCTTAATTTCAAAAATCAACTTGCCTGCTGATCTACATGTGGTGGATAAACATTAAAAAAAAAATCAGTTGATTAAAGAGCATTCAAAAGTTCTCCCAAAAAGGTCTCTAAATTGAGTCTGATCGAGATTTTCCTAAAATTGATCTGCGATGCAAAGCATCTGTTCCATGTTTCAGATGATCAGATATAACTTTGACTATCAAGTTTTCCATCTTTTATAAAATGCGCAACAAAGGTGTGCACAGTTGCCTAGGTGTTATTCCAGTGAAAACCTTGCACTGCATCCTGTATTAGAAAACCATAGTTTTTTGCAAAGTCAAGAAGAACTAAAGCTTGATTTTCTTCTAAATTATTTTTCAAATGTTGGTAGAAGGTGGCTTGACTTTTTGATATAAAATGATGCTCTCATAAATTATCTAACTGTTCATAAACCATTTCAATAAATTCATCTAAAGGTAAAGTTCCTGGTACTAAAGTACATCGGTAATTTGACTTTTACCATTGATAAAAATTAACTTCACTAATTTCATTTTCTGTAAACAAAGTTCCAATGTAATCTAACAAACCTCTTTAGCAGGACATATATCACAGCTATGCAGCATACAATCTCTTTTTTCAATGCTACAAACCATTAATTTCAATAAGATTTTGTAATCAGCAATTCCGAGAATTTTCTGTATGAGGAGCTTTACATTTTGATGGTACTGGCAAACACAAACTGCATGCAGACCCAAAGCTCCACCCACAGGAATGCACCACTTGGGCCTTAGCTCACAAAATTTTGAAAATCCAACTTTAAGATAATTATATTTCTTTTTAAACTCAATATGTAGCTCTTTCATATTGACTAGTAGAAGTCGCTTTTGGATGTGTTGCTTTATACTATCTACTTTAACTGAAACAAACTATTTTTTTCCTGGACATTCATCGCATTCATAGAAATGAACAACCTCTGTAATTACATCTAATTTTTCTACCCGGTTTTGGAGAAGGTTTTCATAGTATTCCACTTTTTTTCCTTAATTTTCTGGCTTGTACTACAGATCTTTTTGAAGTCAAAAAATACTTCTGAGTTTTCTCTATTGTCTGGAGTGAGTGTAAGAAGTGATTTTCTCAGAATTTGACAATGTTTTTTCAAATTTTGACTTAATTTGAATCATAATATTGTCTAAATCTGTGTTTGTTTTTTTCGAAAAATTTTTTGAGGGTGATTCAATTCCACCAAGTGCAGCTATTTCTAAACCTAGCACATTGGCAACAGCCTTTTGTGTATGAACTTTTATGTTATCAATTTTACGCTTTCCATATGCAACTCTATCTTTTTTTTGAAACAAGTTTGAGAGGTGAGCAACCAAAACTTGCAATACTTAAATTAAAATCTTCTTTTAATGTATGGTTGTCAACATAAATTTCTTTTCCTTGGAGTTCATTTTCTTTTGCATTAGGTTTGCAATTCAGAGCTTTTCTGCAACTAGTGCAAATTTTTTGACCAGGTATTAAACCAAAATCTTTAGCATATGAAAGACTGATAACTCTAAGAGAATCTAAAAAGTAATGGTAATAATTATTAAATATTGTTTTACATTTACTTAGTAAATAATTTATTTAGTATTATTAAGGTATTAGTTTAAATATTGAAACTTACTTTTCACTTTTTTTGTGTACTTGTTCAAGGGTTTGCATCAATACCCGCGATGTTCATTCTCATACCTCAACAAGTAAACTTTCTAGCGATAGTTACAAATTAAATCTATGGGATTTACTTTGCTTCTCAAAGAAAGAAGCTCTTGGTGTAGACAGTTCTTGTTAGCATTTACTTTTTTAGACTTGTTAAACTTGATAAGATAGCACTGTTCATTTAATGCTTTACTAATACAGCAAGTAAAAAGCTCAGGCATATTACTCATTATTAATTAGTTCTAAAATACAACAATTTATTTGGTTTTATTAGTACTTTTTAGATTGACATATTAGTAATATAAAATTAAATGAAACAATAACTTAACTTTTAAAAAGTAATAATTTTATGGAAAATTTACCTGACTTTTAGAGACAATCTTTTGGGGGTTATGAATAAGCGCCCATTAATTTTTTTGGTTTTTATTAATTAAAATTCTTTAATTGATGCATATAAAAAATTTTTTGAAAAAAAAAAAGTGCTATCTTAGGTAACATGCTTTGCATCGCAAATCAATTTTAGGAAAATCTCGATCAGACTCATTTTAGAGACCTATAACTTTTGAATGCAGCTCTTCGATCAACTGATTTTTTTTTATCCACCACATGTAGATCAGCAGACAAATTGATTTGTATTAATTTTTTAATTAGTTTTTAAGATTAAGGTCTTTAAAATCACAAAAAATTTTGTTCTTAAAACAAAAATATCAACTTTAGCCCGCCATTATGGAAAAAGTTAACATGCCAGAACTTAAATTTTTTTTTTCTCCCTCAAAGTATCTACAGCACACTTGTTATTTTATAATAACAGAAGTATAAAACTAACTTGTTCAAAAGTTAAAGTGTTTTGTTTAAATTAAAGCCATTGTATGCACACTCTACTAAGCATAGGCTAAAAAAATGTATGTACACTCTGCTGTGTAAAGTGTAAAAAAAATGTATGTACACTCTGCTGTGTAAAGTGTAAAAAAAATGTATGTACACTCTGCTGTGTAAATTGTAAAAAAAATGTATGTACACTCTGCTGTGTAAAGTGTCAAAAAAATGTATGTACACTCTGCTGTGTAAAGTGTAAAAAAAATGTATGTACACTCTGCTGTGTAAAGTATAAAAAAAAATGTATGTATTCTCTGCTGTGTAAAGTGTAAAAAAAATGTATGTACACTCTGCTGTGTAAAGTGTAAAAAAAATGTATGTACACTCTACATTCATTAACTTAAATAATCACTCTAAACTAAATAGACACTCTACATTCTAAATAAATAAACACTCTACATTCATTACACTAAATAAACACTCTACATTCATTAACCTAAATAATTCAGTTGTTGTTGTAAACAACTTTGAACATTGTCACAGGTTAAAATAAAAATTAAAGAAATAAAAATAAATATAAAAAAAATTATGAAAATTATAAAAAAACATCGTATTTTTAAAAATTTATAAAAATTTTTTAGAAAAATTATAATAAATTTGTCTTTAAAATTGTTTATAAGTGTTTTGTTTTTTTAATATGCCTCCTCAAGGCCGAAAAGGCCACTACAGACAAGGAGGCTACTTATTGTGGTTGTAACCCTCTCTAAACTCTATAACTCTGAAACACGAACCTTGATGAACAAGGCTGCTGCACAGAGAAACGAGTTGAGCTACCAGGTACGTGGTTTTAAAAGAATGATAAAACTTAATGCACTTCAGCAAAAAATTTAATGGCTTAACAATTTAATCCAGTAAAAACAGCTTTTTATTTAATTTTTAATCCAGTTGTAAAAAACATTTGTCATTAACATGCATTTAAAATAATGCAATCATCATAAAAGAAATTAAAATGGCTAATCAAAATAAATTACCTGTCTGCATATTCCTGTCGGATGATGTCACTTACTTTTCCTCTTTCTTCTTGTAACCGATCAGTAATTTTTTTGACATCAATTACTTCTTGATCTTTGTGCTTCAAACTGCTTTTCAACTGAATGAGATCATTTTCAAGTTTTTCAATTTGTTCTTTCAAACTATTACATTTATCCTGAAGTGCTCGCTCTGATTGCTCATAATCTTTTATCTCATTTATGTATTTATCACGAATTCGTCTAGCAATAAAGTTTTAATAAAACTAAACACATACATACATACATACATATATATATATATATATATATATATATATATATATATATATATATATATATATATATATATATATATATATATATATATATATATATATATATATATATTTATATATATATATATATATGTATATATATATATATATATATATATATATATATATATATATATATATATATATATATATATATATATATATATATATATATATATATATTAGGGGCTAATCTACACTGTTAATCTACACTGTATTTAGCCGCCACCCAAAATCAAATTTTGAAATTGAGGACTTCTTTTTTTTTTTTGCCCAAAAAAAAACCTACATAAAGCATATTTCCTTATGGCAGGTGCCAACATAGCGGGTACCGCATACAATATTTTTCATTAGACAACTTGGACAACTTTTTTTTCTTCACATAACAATAATTTGCATTTTTTAAAAAATGTGCTTAAAAAGCCAAAATAAAAATAAACAAACCATCAACTAAAAAGTGAAACCAACTTAACGAATGATATAATAAATAAATGAAAAACTAGAGAAAATAAAATCATAAAACCAATATATTTGTCATTTAGAAGTATCTCAATTAATAGTTCAAACTTAAATAATTTAATTTAAAAGCATCTCAGTTAATAGTTCAAACTTAAATTATTTAAAAGCTTTCAATTAATAGTTTGAAGAACTTTTCTTTTATCATCACGTTGATGTAGCACTGTGGTTGATTAAATGTGTTATTTGAGGTGCGACTGTTATATCGACAGGGATGCAAATTCTACTAACAGAAAATTTATTTTGTGTTTTATCTGGATTGTGGACATTAGAAAAAATAAACGTTTCAAACTTTTAAATGATAAAGATTTGAGTAATTAAGCTTGGATTAAATAACTTTGAAACTTCGATTTTTTTAAAATTTTTAAAAATAGTGAAATACTTTTAACATATATTTTTATTTTAATAAATTAAAATAAAAATATATATTAATTTTAAACCTTTATTTTTTCTGGTTTATTCATTTTATCATTCATTTTTATTCTTTTAATTTAATAGATTAGTTATTTTTTAGTTTTTATTTCTCTTTCCAGTTATGTTTTGTTTAATATATTTATTATAGTTTATTAGAGTTTGTTTATTTTTAAATTTAGCATAAACTTACATTTGTTTATTCAGTGCATTTTTAAAACATGCCAACTTAAAACATGCAAGGAGCTGTGGCCATGTTGTTAAAATAAAATATTATAAGCATAGTCATATAAGGCATGCGACAGCACGTGCCTCCTGAGAAGACTTGATATATATATATATATATATACATATATATATATATATATATATATATATATATATATATATATATATATATATATATATATATATATATATATATATATATATATATATATATATATATATATATATATATATATATATATATATATATATATATATATATATATATATATATATATGTATATGTATATATATATATATATATATATATATATATATATATATATATATATATATATATATATATATATATATATATATATATATATATATATATATATAGACACACTCACACACACATATAAAAAACAAAAATAAAATTATTTAACTTTACATTCTTGTTTGTTGACATAACTGTTGTTGCTTGTTTGCTTGTTAATTACGCATATTGTTGCTATGATTTGTTTGTGTTTATTGTTTGTTGATGTCATTTTTTTGTATGCTATTGCTTATTTATTGTTTTAAGTGTTTTTATTGTTTTAAATATGTAACTTTAAAAAAGTTATTTTGTATGATTTTGAAAGAGGTTTAATGTCTTACTTGATTCTGTTTTCAGCAGCACGTTCAGCATCTTCTCTGCTTTGTGCAGTTTCTCTTTCTAACTTATCAATGACCATCTCAATTTCTTGATCTCTCGCCACCTTTACTTTATCTTTTAATTCTCGTTCTTTTGACAGAAGGTGGGTCTCTTGCTTTTTCATAAAATTTTCAATCTATTGTTGTTTTTCAATTTCTAATTGCTCTTTATAATTGCGCATCTCATTCTGTAAACAAAAATATTATTAGAAGAAAAACAAACTTTGCAAAGCTTCTTTATTTGCTTTTCAATATAAAATGTTTAAAAATCAAATAAAAGCTAGCTATCTGCCTTCCTAAATGAACAAGCTCAAATAATTCTTACAGTAAGTATTATTTTTCAAATGAGTTATATGATGTTATTACATTTGTTTATTAATATCAAAGTATTTAAATTACTTGG